GTGTGTGTGTGTGTGTGTGTGTGTGTGTGTGTGTGTGTGTGTGTGTGTGTGTGTGTGTGCATACGTGCAAGGCTATGATTGCGATATATCATATAATTATGCAGAGTAAAGCTCCTTGCTACATGGCACCTTCATATATTACCTTCATCAGTCATGATAACTGTTATTTAAAACAGGAGACACACACAGAGCTATGTTCATGTACAGAACACACACACACACACACACACACACACACACACACTGGAAGAGCAGTGCATGTTCCCCATGTTTAGTATTCCAGACACACTGGAACACTGCTCATAGAGAAAACGCTGAGAGAGCAGAACGCAAGAAGCATTCCCATCTCTCTCTCTAATGCTGTTCTTCTCCCTCTTTACCTCACTCACCCCATTTCTTTTCTTTTCATCCTCTTTCTCGCCCTTTTGCTCTTCTCATCTCACCGCAGAAAATCGTTTTCTTGCATTTGCGTCTTGCTTTCCAGTAAAAGCCATCATACGTGGACAATGTCATGCACACACAAGGATATCATTTTCTTAATTAGTATTTTCTCAAAACATCCTCAAAGGGATAGTGCACCCGGAAATGTTATTCTTGTCATTATTTACTCACCCTCATGTCGATCCAAACCTGCATGACTTTCTTTACTCTGTGGAACACAAAAGAAGATTTTTTTGAATAATGCTTTTTTCCATATATTCAAAGTCAGTGGGGTCCAAGACAACAATAAGTTGTCTAATAAGGAACATCGTATAATAAGGAATAAAAAGTCATAAAAATATGGATTTTTTATTTTTAGGTGAACTATCTCTTAAACAAAAGGATACATTTCCATGAGAATTTTTTTGGCCCTAAATTGTATTGCAATAGAAAAAGAAACATTAATTAAATATTGATTGAGTAGCACAGTTTGTGTAAAAAACATTATTGAAGAACTTTAATAAACAGTGTCCCATTTTTCATATTTATTTCAATCACTTTTAGCATTTTATAACTGTTTTATAATAAATGTTTATATGGTTCTGGTAACAAATCAATTTCTCTGCATTTATGCAGAACAATTTGTGGAAGTTAGGGGTTTTGCGGTATACCAGTATTGTTGATAACTGTGATATTTAAGAAATTAAATATTGATATCATGGTTATAGGGGTTTTGCAATATATATTGTGTATTGGCAATAAGCGTGGGGTTTATAAAAGGAAATAGGCCTGACATCAAATAGGATATCATGTTAATACTACACATGACTTTATCAGAAAAATAACACTGATATATTTTTAATGTATTGATTTGATTTGAAAAAGAAACATCTAAAATGAATATGATTGCTTTAAATTCAATCATAGCCAATAATGTTGGGTATTGCCATTTGATCTGCATGAGCGGAAGCTAGTGAACAGCAGTTTGCTGAAGTGTTTTGCCAGCGAGTTAATAAAACGCACAAATGCATCCTGTTTGAGAGTAATCAGATATATACTATAAACATAATATTAGGATCTGCACAAAACAATGCAAATGCACAAGTGAACTTAACCGTGCTAGTTAGAATTTTTAATTTATGCCGTGAATGTGCTTTTTTAAAATACATTCTGTTATAATAGTGTTCTCATTATAATGTTATGTTTGTGACAGATTGGTGCTGCTGCACATCTTGCACTTAACTGTATTTTCATTATTAAAGCGATTCCAGGCATCACTGCATGCTTTTGAAGGCAAATGTTTTTTTCTTTTAATTCTTTTATTCATTGGCCAAAAAAGATAAAACACAAAATCTAATCATCATTATTCAAATTTTTCTAGATATAGTGATCATATCATTGTCATGAATTCTTTTGTCCAAGATAATCGTGTAGTGGAAATCTAATATCATGACTGCCTTAGTAGAAGTACTACAGATGTTTAGAAAAGTGCTGTTGTGGTTTTTGTTTTAGGAGAAAATTGCATCCAAGTGGTTTTTATCCCAGCAGCCCTTAAGAGACATTGTACCCTATCAGATCAAAAATAATTTACATTGTACCCTATCAGCTAAAATCACCATTACCTGCTTACAACTGCGTGTGTGTGTGTGTGTGTGTACACGTGTGAGAGAGAGAGAGTGAGAGCATGTGTATGTGTGAGGAGGAAACTATATAATCTATGGGAAGATGTCTTTTCCTTAGTGTTAGAGAAAGTTTGTTCAAGGGCCTACAGCTTAGAAAATCTTACATTTTTAGTCAAGTTTGATTAATTGTTGAAAACTATTTTACTAGTAGTTCACTTCCAGAATGAAAATTTCCTGATAATTTAATCACCCCCATGTCATCCAAGATAGTCATGTCTTTCTTTCTTCGTTCGAAAAAAATAGCCTCTTTGGCTAATTCTGGCACATTTACAGCCATGTTTATTAATGTGTGTTGCCCCTGTAAACAAATAAACTAAACTAAAAAATTAAACTGAAAAGACATTAAGGTTTTTGAGGAAAACATTCCAGGATTTTCCTCCATATAGTGGACTTCAATGGTGGCCAACAGGTTGAAGGTCCAAATTGCAGTTTCAATGCAGTTTCAAAGGGCTCTACACGATCCCAGCCGAGGAATAAGGGTCTTATCTAGCGAAATGATCGGTCATTTTCTATAAAGAATAAAAATGTCTATACGTTTTAACCACAAATGCTCATCTTGCACTAGTTCGACCTCAAGCATTACGTAATCACGCACATGCGATGTAGGCAGAAGTACCGACCCAGTGTTTACAAAGCGAACGTGAAAAGAAAGTCAAATGCCCTTTACAAAAAGAGGTAGAACAATGTTGTCGGACAATTTTGAAGTTGAAGGAGAAAATGATATGGAGTTTTTTGCACCTACCCTACCTTTTTGAACCAGAGTACACAGATGAAGAACTTACTGGGCGTGACACTTCCAACGTGATTATGCAATGCGTGAAGTCACTAGTGCAAGACGAGCATTTGTTGTTAAAAAGTATATACAATTTTTTTTTTTTTTAAGAAAATGACCGATCGTTTTGCTAGATAAGACCCTTATTCCTCGGCTGGTTAGGGGTGAGTAAATTATCAGGAAATTTTCATTCTGGAAGTGAACTACCTCTTTAAAGCTGCATAACATCCTGAATTTGCCGTTTTATTTTTACAGATGAAATAATGTGTTAATAATTTCTATTAAACAATTAAAAATTTAATAAAATTATTTTCTTGTATTATATTTGTTTAGATGGTCTTGATAAAGTCACAAAGTCTGGTTCAGGTGCCAAAAACAATGAGGTACTTACACATTTAACTAGTAACAGGTCAAAAATCAAGGTCATTAGTAAGGTTCTAGTGAAAGGTTCTAAAAAAACGTTCTAGTGAAAGGTTTACAACCACATCCATTGATTGTTTTTCTGCTGTTTCTGCACAAATTCAAAATAACAAATGCTGCACGTTGCATTCTGAATGGAGCGTTATTGAGCAGTTAGCAAATGTGTCAATCTGTAGTTGGAGATGAAAGCCGTATTGAGTACTGGGAAAACAACTGAACTTCCAATTAGCCAAGCGAGCAGCCAGAAACCAGGCGAAGGAAAATGTACAATGACTGATAAGGCAACGTTCACCAATGCTTTTAAAGGGGTCATATGATGCTTTTTTAAAGATCATTATTTTGTGTATTTGGTGTAACAGAATATG